TGTCTATGGCTCCTTTTGCCTTATAACAGCAGAACTGAATAGTTGCAACAGAAACTGTACAACTCCCAAAGCCTAAAATAGTTACTATCTGTTCCTTTATGGAAAAAGTTTGCTGACTCGGATTAGAATTAAAGTGATGAAGAAAATGCTAATAATGCACATTAAACTTTAAAAAGTGTGTCATGACTGTAGCCATTACGTTGCAAATAAAAAAAAATGTCCTTCCATTATTCAAAAACTATTATTCAATTCAGAAAGAAGTGCTATTTTTTCCCTATTATCTGCAACTGAAATGCATTCCTAACTGATACTAAAGCACGTAAAACTTTTGTTGTTATCTTTTCTTTTGAGTTAGACTGCAGGGAAAGGTGATGGGGAAAGCCTTTGATTTCTCAAGTCCATACATCAGCAGAGGAAAGTAGAAATATAAACAAATATGTAGGTGCATGATATTATTGCAAGTGCTCAATGTATGAGTTCCACTGAATGCCTTCAGACAGAAAAATATACATACAAATAAAATCCAGATAGACCTGACCTAAATTTAACAGCCCCATCGCTTTTTATTATTCCTACAAGTGCGATCGTGAGCAAGTTACTTTATTTCTGAACCCTGTTTCTCTCACTTACAAAAGGTAGACACGCATGGATCTTGACTATTCTAACTCAGTCACCATGATCTTGTCCTCCTTGCCACTGATGGGTTTATGGTAGGCATAAAACTTAGGTCTGGTCAATGAAACACGACAGAGCTTTGGAAAGGCTTTTCTCCTACTTCAAGTCCGACACTTGCTGTTGTGATGTCTCTAAGCACAGCAGCCACCTTTAGCTTACAAAAGGAGCTAGCATAAGGACAAAGTCAACACGCTAGGATGGCAAAATAGAAAAGTTAAATAGAACAAAAAATAGAACTTTTTGATGCCCTCATTAAGACTGAGTTGCTGAATTAACCAAAATGAGTTGCCTTGCCTCATGACTTCTTGCTTTGAGAGGTCCATCTTTCTACACTGTTTATACCATTATACCACTACGAGCTGGGATTTCTGCTCTCTGCAGCCTAAAGCATCCTGATACAATTATTAGTCATATCAAAATTAAATCAACAACATTTGAAGAGTTCCAGAACAGAACATTTTCTTATTCATTAAAATATAAATGTTGAATTACTACCTCATTTCAAAAGAGAAATCACATGTAAAATATCTATTCATTTAGGTATCAGATAGAGTGGAAACTGTTCAGGGAAAAACAAAGTGCTCAGGGACTATGGGAATTAACGAACCAGAAATGCTGAGAACTGAAAAAGAATTCCTCCTAAACGAGGAAAACAGGTAAGATCATCAAAATGTTCCAAAACCTGATGGGAATAAAGATGAAACCTAACAAACGAGTATTTGTTTTAATGCGCTGAAATCAAATTATACTGTTCACTTCCCAAGCTGCTAGAGCTCAACGGGTTTGGCTGCAACCCAACTTCAGGAAAGGCTTGCACACCTGAATACTGACTTGACTTTCTCCTCATTTTGCCTTCCCCTCTGTCTATATTTTCCAAGACTCTGTTTGCTTATACTCAGTCTTGAAATCAGGTACTTATACTTAATCTCGAAATTTCTAACTTAGCTCTTCTCTTTCGACCATTGTTGGCTAATCTGTAGTCTTTGCATTTCTATATAATTCTTGGAACAACTTTAAAAATACATGGCACTCCATTTAAAAATACATGGAATACTATAAAACAAAAAGTATATAAGCAGAGTCTTGGAAAGTTTAGACAGAAGGGGAACGCAAAATAAAGAGAAAGTAAAGCTAGTATTCAGATGTGCAAGCCAGGTGCAAGGTTAGACACATAGATCAATGACCAGAATAGTCTAGAAACAAAGCCACACATATAATGGTGAACTGCAATTCAATAAGGAAAAGAAGGCATTTGCAATAAATAGTGCTAGGACAAATGGAAAAATTAATTTCAACCCTTATCTCATAACACACACAAAAATTAACTCAGAATGGATCACTGACCTAAGTATAAAAACTAAAATTATAAAACTTCCAGGGGCCGGCCCCGTGGCTTAGCGGTTAAGTGCATGCGCTCTGATGCTGGCGGCCCGGGTTCGGATCCCGGGCGCGCACAGACCCAGCGCTTCTCCCGCCATGCTAAGGCCAAGTCCCACATACAGCAACTAGAAGGATGTGCAACTATGACATACAACTATCTACTGGGGCTTTGGGGGAAAAAAATAAATAAATAAAATTATTAAAACTTCCAAAAGAAAATGTTTATAATCTTAGGGCAGGCAAAGATTTCCAGAAAAGACACAAAAAGCTCTAAACTATAAAATAAAAAATTGATAAACTGACTTCATAAAAAATTTAAAAGTTATGTTCTTCAAAAGTCACCACTAAGGAAAGGAAAAGACAAGTCACAGATTAGTAGAAAACACTCACAATTCATATACCTGACAAAGGACTTATATCCAGAATATAGAAAGAAATTGTAAAATAATAAAATTCAAGTCAGAAGATTTGAACGGACACGTCCCAAAAGAAGATATACCATTACTCAATAAGCACAAGAAAAGATGCTTGACATCATTAATGATGGGAAATCTAACTTAAAATCATAATGAGATATCACTATACACCCATTAGAATGACTAAAATTGAAAAGACTGATAAAACGAAGTGTTGGTGGGAATGTAAAGCAACTGGTACTCTCATGCATTGCTAGTGGGAATATAAAATGGTATAACCACTTTGGAAAAGTTTGGCAGTTTCTTATATGATTACACATACTTTTACCCTATGTCTCAGCAATTCCTTTCCTGTTACACAAGGGAAATGAAAACATATATCCATGAAAAGACTTGTGCAAGAATGTTTTAGTTTTAGTCATAATAGCTCAAATTTTGAAATAATCCAAATGTCCGTTAATACACAGGTGAAAGGACACATAAATTGTGATACATTCATACAATGGAAGGTTACTCAGCAATAAAAGGAACAAACTGCTGATAAACACAATGACATGGATGATGGATGAATTTTAAACCATTAAGCTGAGTTAAAAAAGCAAGACACAAAAGATTACATACTGTATAGTACCATTTATATGAAATTCTAAAACAGGCAAAACTAACCTATAGTGACAGAAGCAGATCACTGGTTGCAGGGGACAACCAAAGGCCAGACTAATTACAAGAGAAGATGAAGGAACTTTGGGGGATGAGTGCAATGCCCTGCATCTTAATTTGGGTGGTAGTTACACAGGTCTATACATTTGTCCAAATGCACTTAACTGTGCACTTGGTCGCTTTATTTTGTTTTAGGTAAATTATACCTAAAGTTGATTAAAAAAATGTTTGGAAACAAATAATTTTACACAATCTCCTTTGTAGAGTCTTCTTTTTCCTGGGGCTCCAGGGTTCAGTTTTCTTCTCCATTTACACTTATTTCCAAGAAGATTCCACCCTGTCCCATGATTTTAAATACCTACTGTATACTGATAGCTCCCAGATTCAAAATCTATAGCTTAGACATGTCTCCTAACCTCCAAACTCAACCAACCAACAAGCTGCCTAACACCTCTACTTGGGTGCCTAATGAGCATCTCGAACTTAACATGTTCAAAACAGACATGCTGAGCCCACCAAAACAACTCCTTCCTTTGTCTTTATCCTGATAAACAGCACCATTTCTCACCCAGTTGCTTTGCCCAAAATACTAAAGTCATTTTTGACATATCTTTATGACACAGATCCCATATTCAAAATCTTCAAATCTATCTTCACATCTTACATCATATGAGACTCACATCCATATCCAAATCTGTCTTCAAAATAAACCCTTGATTGAGCAATTCCCACCAGGAACAGGTCCAGGCCCGGACCGCTGTAACAGCATCCTGACTAGTCTACCTCCTCCCAGCATCCCTCCCTAGTCTATTAATAAACACAACATCCAGAGTGCTCAAGAATTCCCAACTGCTACCCACCACACCTAGAACAAAATCCAAGTTTCTTCAAGAACTTTTGATGCCCCAGGATCTAATAAAAAAAAAATTAAGTTCTTTCTTTGGTTCTACTGGATGAATGATACACATTCATATAAACTTTTATTTTAATTACAACCAAGGAATAAAGAATTACTAAAGACTGATAAAATTAGAACATTACTGGAGCTTAGAGAAGCTTGGCAACAAACCACCCATCACATGCGTAGACAGGTAGATCCCTGGAATTCCAGCAATTTGGGGGAAGGATAAGTTAGTTACCATCAGTGTTGTCTCAAGCTGGTTATGATTTTTGATCAGTGCTATTTTTGAATTAATTAATTTGCTGAAATAGGGCTCCATTTCACTTTGAAGATAATTTTGTTCTTGTATACAGTCGGTCCTCCATATTCACAGGTTCCATATCTGTGATTCGACCAACCGCGGATGAAAACGCCTATGATGGTTGCATCTGTACTGAACACGTACAGACTCTTGTTGTCATTATTCCCTAAACAATACAGTGTAACAACTACTTACATAGCATTTACATTGTATTAGGTATTATATGTAATCTAGAGATGATTTAAAGTATACAGGAGGATATGGGTAGGTTATATGCAAATACTATGCCATTTTAAACATGGGACTTAAGCATCCACAGATTTCGGTATCCGTGGGGGTCCTGGAACCAATCTTGCGTGGATACCGAGGAACGACTACAATTATTTCTTGCTAAGCCATCCTGAGTCTATTTGGCTCCTCTCTCTCTGTCTCCTTGGCACTGCTAAGTGGAAACAGCAAAGCTGATAGAAGGCAAGCCCAGGTTAAAACTGCTAGTGGGTCATAAAAGCCTTTAAGTCAGGGGTCAAATTTTATTCAAATCGGTATCCCCAAACCTTCCCTCTACTTGGCATATAACCCTGCATATTGTAGGGTGTTGTGTAATTTGGAAGAGAGACTCTGCTCAGTTTAAACAAATCCCTCTAAGGGAACACTTCTCTAAACCTACATCTCAAGCCCATTACTCTCAAAACCTACTCCAAAATTTCTATCCACAATTACAAATTTCCATTTCTAGAATATAACATTTCAAATTAGACAATCAAAACTACAATTCACCCAATCTAGCCAGCCTTTCTATTTTTTATCTAGTTAAAGAGCAATAAACATAAGCCAAGAATTAAAAATTAAATATTGATTGGGGGGGACATTAGATTTAACCCCAGTGATGGCACTAATGAGAAATATAGTTTGAAAAGTACTCAATAAATAATTTACAGGATCTTAAAAACAGACTTTGGTAACAAGTAACCAGAAGAACTATACAACACTCCCAATATTAACTAACTAGAGAGACAATTTGCTAAGATGCTAAAGGAACATATGTAAAATTTTTCAGTAAAAATACAACAGTCATGTGAATACAAATATAATTGTTAGGCATAATAAGAATTTGCTAACCTATGAGTGAACAAAGTGAAGAAAACCAACTGTGAATATTCTATTTCTGCGTATATTTCAACACAGAATCTTAAGTCTAATAAAATCAGCAGAGGCCTGGAAAGATGACTGCTTATAAATTATTCATGTTTCCTATTAGAAAAATTTATGATTAATCAGGTTTGTCTGTTTTCATTAAGTGGTTATTATGTGGAAGGCAAGCTGAAGAATTATTTTTCTATGCAATAGCATCTGAAAGTGCCCTAAGAATGCATGCTGTTGTTCTAAAATCAGCATCCCAAAGTGAGCTCATCTCTTCCTTCATCTCTGTTTTTATGAAAGTCATACATGCATAGAGTTTCAGAGTCAAAGGGTACGACAGAGCACATCATGACAGAGCCATGTGCAGTCCCACACTCCCCACTTGGGAGCTCGGCTCTCCAGAGGCCATCAGGCTAGTTCTCGGATTCATCCCTGGACTCAGCAGGACAGAGTAGCTCGATCCTCAGCAGCACCGTCCTCTGCCAGCACTTCAGGTTTCAGCTCTCTTCTGACATCTCCACTCTTCCATCTGGGAGTTTACCCCTCTTTGACATTTTACTACCATTTAAGCGGAGTTTTAGAAGAGAGCACAGATAAATGCGTGCGCTTAATCTGCTATAATTCACTGGAAGCCTCAAAACTTAGGCTTAAAACTATTATCAAGACATCATGTTTCTAAAATCTTTTTTATAATTCCCTGAATTTTATTCTAATAATCCAGTTATAAATTTAATGGAATTTTAACTAATGTGATACTTAACATTTCTCATTCTTTTTACTTTGTATGCAAAAACATTCTCAGGTATATTGTTTCTGCCAAAGTATTACAATTAATAGTTTAGTTTATCCTCAAATAACTGATAGGTGATAAATCAACTATCTAGCCATGTGGTCTCTCCAAGAACCAAGTTTAAAGGCTCCTTCCACTGTTACCACATTTATAAATATATCCTCTTAAAGATACACAATAGCCATTCTTCACATTTTAAGATCATGAGTCTCATCTTCCTAGAGTTGGTTTAAGATGTCACTTTGACTCAACACACTTGCCTTTTGTAGACTAGCGAATAGAAAGCACAGTAAGATACCACTTCTCCATTTCAAGAACCTGCCATCAAGTCAGGGATATTACTCACAATGTCTGACAGCCAATCGTGTGTAACAATGCTGGGTTTTATAGGATTAGCTATCTAAATGCTAGTCACTTCTGTCTCACTATGTCCACAGTGTTCCGTTCAGAATATCTTTATCACATTTTGTTAAAACTGATTTCTTAAATGTCCACACCTCTTCCCTAGACTGAGCTCCTCAAAGATCTCAGACATCTGAGCACCTGAGTGCCTAGCACTGAGCTTGACAAAGTGAAAGCATTCTGTAAGATTCTGTTGTGTGGGACATGTGTGTGTGAACTGAGTGCATGGTACCAAGAAGATGAATAAGTGGTAGAACAGAAGTAGTGTGAAAAGATCACTACAGCCCAGAGACGTAACTGAAGGCTCCTCCCAGGACGACAACGTTGACGCAGGCACCAAACACAGAACAGCAGTGACACAGAGGAGGTGATGCTTCCCAGTTATGTTGAATGCATAGAGCTAAGAGTCAGCATATCACGCTGTGGCCAGCATGACGCTTATCTAGTAAAAACTGGGAAAAACAATAGGAAATAAGCTTAGCTGGTAAAATAGGCTATTCTCCTGCAGGCATTCAAAGGTTTTTAAGCAAAGAAGTAATATGATGAAATAGTTTTTAGGAGAATGATAAAGACTAATCCATATACATGATGGACTGTAAGAGAGAAGGACTGGAAGTCAGAACACCAGTTAAACAGCATGAGGAAGTGAGTTCTTAGCTAACACAGAGGATATGAACGAAAGTGAGAAGGATTTCCAAGAGGAAAAAAACCTTTTCATAAGAAACTGCTTACAGAAACTTAGAAGAAAAAGTCAAGTTTTTAAATTAGGGTGTCTCAAGATAACATACAAGCTGACTCTGGAGTAAAGACTGGCATAGGTTGGAATGCTGGCTTGACCTCTTACTAGCTGTGCGACTTTACACCAGTTGCTTAAACTAAGCCTCAGTCATCTTCTCTTTTATATTTACATCTTTTTCCTAGATGATTTCATCTAATTCTAAGGCTTGAGAGCCCTTACCCTGAACACCAGACTTGTCTGACTGCCAACTTGACACTGCCATATGAATGTCTAAGGCCTCTCAAACCCAACATGGCCAAAAAAGCACTCTTGACCAATAAGTTGTTTCTCCTCCAGCCTTCCCCATCTCATAAAGAACACATCACGCCAGAAAAAGTTGATTCCTGCCTCTTCTTCACGCCCCACAACCCATCTTCAATCCAGTCCTACTACTTCCACCTCTAAAACACACCCCATGCCTATCTACCTCACCCTAGCTCCACTGCTGCCCTCCTCGTTTAGGCTAATGACATCTTGTGTCTGATGGCCCTGCTACCACTCTCACCCTCTAACACAGAGCAGTCAGAGTAAGACTGTGATGAAATACACCCCCTGCTTACAATTCCCTGGTGGGTTCCCACTGTACTTAAATCTACAGTCTGGACCAGCCCTCCTCCTTGACTCATTTGATACCACTGGCAACCTTGCTCACCAGGCACCAGCGAGACTAGATCTCTTTCTGGTCTCTGAATACGCTCAACACCCAACTCCGGAGAGCCTGGAACAGGCTCCTCCATCTTCTTCCAGTCCTCTCCAACTGGTTCCGAGAAGAGCTGGTTCATTCACATCATTTAGTTCTCAACTCAGCTAAAATAGCACCCATGTTATTTCATTCATATCATGTCCCATCAGTCTCTGAAGTAACTTTGCTTGTATATTTGTTTACTTGCCTATTGTCTGTCTCCTGACAGACAATAATTAGTTAATTTGAACATTAACTCCAGGAAGGCAGGCACTTCATGGGTCTTTTCTCCTGCTATTCCCCCAATACCTAGAACAGACCATGGCACAAAGTAGGTACCTGGCTACTTAACGAGTACTTGTTGACTGTAGCCCCATACTCCCCATTTTTAAATTGGGTTGTTTGTCTTCCTATTATTGAGTTGTAAAAGTTCTTTATATATCCTGGGTACAAGTCCTGTATCAGATAGATGTTTTGCAAATATTTTCTCCCAGTGGCTTGCCTTTTCATTTTCTTAAAGGTGTCTTTTGAAGAGCAAAAGTTTTTCATTCTGATGAAGTACAATTAATCGATTTTTTTAATGGATCATTTTTTAGGTGTCATATCTAAGAAGTTTTTGCCTAACCCAAAGATATAAAGAGCTCCTCCTATGTTTTTTTCTAAAGTTTTGTAATTTTAGCTGTTATATTTAGGCCTATGATACATTTTCAGTTAATTTTTATGTATGGTGTGAGATAAGGGTCCAGGTTCATTTTTTCACATATCCAATTGTCCCAGCACCTGTTGAAAAGACCATTCTTTTCCAACTGAATGGCCTTGGAACTTCTGTCAAAAATCAACCGACCATAGGGGCCGGCCTGGTGGTGCAAGCAGTTAAAGTGTGTGCGCTCTGCTGCGGCCGCCCAGGGTTCGCTGGTTCTGATCCCAGGCGCACACCGACACACTGCATGGCAAGCCATGCTGTGGCGGTGTCCCATATAAAGTGGAGGAAGATGGGCACGGATGTTAGCCCAGGGCCAGTCTTCCTCAG